ATCTATCGAGGCATGGTGCTCCATGTATGGCCTCCGCTTCACAACGCACAGCAGCAGCAGCAGCAGCAGCAGCAACAGCAGCAGCAGCAGCAGCAGCAGCCAACAACGGCGGCAAGAGTGCCTCGAGAGGGCAGCGTGCTGGGAATGCTTTTGCCTTCTCGGCCTCCTAGCAGTATGTTCATCCTTGCTGCTGCTGCTGCTGCTGCTGCACGTGCTGCTGCTGCTGCTGCTGCTGCAGCATATGTAGGTGCTGCAGCAGCAAAATGCCTCTGTGTTGCTGTCTGCTGCTGCTACACGTGTTCATAGAGTCCTGCTGTTGCAGCGCCTGCACCTCATTCTGTGTTGGTTTTTGCTGCTGCTGCTGCTGTTGCTGCTGCTGCTGCTGCTGCTGCTGCAGGTGATGGGGGAGCAGCTGGCAGATGCAGGTTTGTTTAAGGTGTACGTACACCTCGAATACCCTCTCTCCCTCCCGCTGCTGCGGATGCAGCAGCACGGACTGCCGCTGCTGCTGCAGCCGCTGCAGCAGCAACTTGAGAGGGGGGCCATATGCTTGGAGCTGTTGCAGGTGAGCCAGCAGCAGCAGCAGCAGCAGCAGAAACAAAAGAAGCAGCAGCTGCTGCTGCAGCAACACAAACAGACGAAGCAGCAGACGCAGCAGCAGCAGCAGCACCAGCACCAGCAGCAACAAGAGTTTAAAGGTATTTGTGAATACAGCTTCAGCGGCACTAGAAGCCGCAGCAGCAGCAGCTGCTGCTGCTGCTACAGCAGCAGCAGCAGCAACAGCAGCAGCAGCAGCAGCAGCAGCTGTGTTTGCTGTTGCATGCAGGAGGCAGCAGCTCAGCTGCTGGGGCGGCCTTTTGTTATCTCTGATTGGGCTGCACTGAGGGCCGTGCTGCTGCAGGTCCCCGAGGTGCTGCAGCTGCTGCTAGCAGACGACAGCAGCAGCAGCAGCAGCAGCAGCAGCAGCAGCAGCAGCAGCAGCAGTGGTGGTGGTGGTGATGGTGGTGGTGGTGGTGCGTTGCTGCTGCATTCTGCGCGTGATCCCCTCCGCCCCCAGGATGTGAGTTGCAGTGCTGTTTGCTGCTGCTGTTGCTGCTGCTGC